TGCACCCTGTTCTCAGGAGCCTGTTGTGGTAGGGCTCGGGAGACCCTCTGGGGTGCTGGTTCCTGTATCCCATATACTCTCTGGCCCCCTTGTCGGGGTTTCTAGGATAGTTGGGACTTTGTGTTCTTTATCAAAGTCTCTGTGGGTTCCCTTGGGTTTTCTGGACACGGCTGGGTAATTCGGGGCCTGTTTGTGTCACTGGGTTAAGACTAACATCCACGGGCCTTGTCTGTATTTAAGACCTTAGGACATGTATTTGACCATTTGCCCAGTACGCTGCGACCCAAGGCCTGGGGCCGAAGAAAACCAGGGTCCCCGAGTCCTCAGGGGAGCCCTGGGAAATGACAGGAATGTTTAGGACTTTGGATGGTGGCCGCCAAAGTGAGGTTACACTCAGGGCAGGTGCGGAGGGGAAACTGAGGCTGATCTGTCACGGGGCCTTTGCCTCTCCTGCCAGGCTGCTATGATCCCTGATAGAGTGGCCGGTGGGGGGTGAGGGGGGTGCAGCTCCATTGTCCGTTTGTCCCCACCTGTCCTTCTGTTTCCCACACTCTATTATTGCCATCACCTCTCTGTGGGACCCAGTGAGGCTGGGATGAGGTGTCGGGACTCAGACCTTCGCCAGGGGAGTCCCTGCCTCAGCCCTGAGGGGTCCCATCTCCCCCTCCCATCACCCCTCCCCCACTTGCTCCATGGTCTACAGACTGAGCAGCGGGGCCAGGACCTGCTCTGGGGTCAGCATGTGGCCCATTCCTGTATCCTGAGGGCCCCTTCTAGTGCTGTGGGCTGTGCTCAGAGCTCCGCTCCTCACCTGGTGGATGAGAAGGTGCACCCCACTCCAGAGGGACCCTTTAGTGTCGGGTGTCCTGTGGCTGCACCCCACTGCTCGCTGATCCCGGGATCTGGTCTGGGCCGGCAAGAACACTGCCACTGTGTCTGTCCTCTGCTCTCACCTAGTGTCCCAGAGGACACCCATCATCCCCTGGCAAACCACTGCACCTGCAATCGTGGGACTTGAAAGGCAAGTTCCACAGATGTTGTCTTCGTGTCATTTTCGTCTGGGTATGTGGCATACAGGGACATACTGGGACGGTGCTCTCTGTTTGCTCCAGGACGTTCAACCTACAGCAGCAAACAGCTCCCTGATTATAAATCCATGGCGCTGCATAATTGTTCAGGCAGACAGTGGCGTCTGTCTGAGAGCAGATGCTTCATGCTAAGGCGACAGTTCTGAAATGCAGAGTGGGATTCTCTGGACCTGAGACGACTTATAGAAATAAAGCCACACTTCACCCAAGAACAAGCTTGCTCTTGTGGCCTGGGTTGGCTTTGGTTTAAAGTAGGGGACTGTACATGGGGAGGGCGCTTGCCCTGCACGCGTGTCACCCAGACTCAGTCCCAGGCATCCCATAGGATCTGCTGAGTCTGCCAGGAGTGGTGCCTGAGCATAGCCGGGTATGGCCCCCAAATTAAAAAAACATAAAGTAGGGACTGTGTAAAGCCTGGTTCCCGGATAGCATAAACTTGTGATGCCAAATTAACATTTATAGCAGGCGATTTTCAAATGCATTTACCAACGAATTCTAAAGGAGATAAAGTAGCCGGTTCTCCAAATAAATCACCGGTCTTCTCAGGTTTAAATTTCTCCATGTACTGTGTCTGATGGCGAGGCCCTGTTCCAGAAATACATCTATTGTATTAAAGTTGAAATACAGCTTTCAAAACGGTCTTCTCTTCCTGAAAGCCACGTTTCTTGGGGGGTGGGGGGGAATCCCCCTTTAAAGCGACACATTAGAAATATGCTTGAATTCATCTGGTGAGAATATTTTTAAAAAGAGTAGCTAGTTGCTGGGGAGGGGGTGTGAAGAGTCCTGTGGTCCTCCGGGATTCATGAAGGTGAGTGCCACAACCCCCGTACAACCCTGGGACTTCTATGCCTTCCTGTACAATGTAGTCCTAAGGTATTTGTACCCAGATAAAGTTTAATTTGTATATCAGGCACAGTGGAATAATAATAAAAACATAAAACAATAGCAAGTGATTTTCACAGTGGCAATAATAAAAAAATAGATGTTAGCAATAGAGTATAATAAAATATATGTGGCTGTGGCATCTCTCTCTGAATACCTTGTTGTGATATTTTCAGACCAGGGAGGATGACAGGTAGCTGCAACCATGGAAGGAATCTGAAAATGGGTTCTTCCTCTGGTCTGCTTTAGCAGCTGTGTGGGAGTTATTATACTAGACTGACGACTGACAGGTATTTTAGGAGGCTGATATTGACAGTCATGAGCAAGGCATCACAGTCCCTAAAGAGTGTCATTAATGCTACTAACACACACACTCTTTTTTGGGCCACACCCGGCACTGCTCAGGGCATACTCCTGGCAGGGCCCAGGGGACCATATTGGGGATCGAGCCTGGGTTGGCTGCATGCAAGGTGAGTCCAGTCCCTAACATAGGCTCTTTCTAACACTATATATATATATATATATGTATATACATATATATATATATATATATATATATATATATATATATACACTCCATCTCAGATGTCTGCAGAAACGTAGACTTCAGGAAGTCCAGATGTCCCTATAGACATTCAAATGAACTCTTCCCAAACAACAGGTGGTTAAAGGAAAGGATTTATTGTAATCTGCTTACAGTCCTTTGCAAAGACAGACGTATGTTTTTGCATAAAGATATAAATTGCTTCATTTTAAACTAATTTAGTGTTTTTAATTATATGAAGAAGTTTTGGTGAATTATGAATTGTACCAAACCAAGATTTTTTTTTTCCTTGTAAGAGCAATATGGTACAAAAATAAGAGCAGACAGACGATTTGGACGGGGACAGGCATTCAACAGTGAATTTAGAATATGGCTTTGCTGTTTAATCGAGCAAAGTTACCCGGAGACGCAAGAAGAGCCAGTAACTTTGTTAATACAAAGAGCTGATGCAGACCATCGCCATCTTATTAACGTAGAACCCTTGATTGTGTGCATAGCTCGTCTGGGCTCGGAGCTGTTCTTTTTGTTCGAGCCTCCTCTGGTCTAGAACTAACCCAGTCTGCATGCTGTTATCTTTAAGCCTTCCAGGTGTGGCTTCCATGCCGCTGTGCAGGTGAAGTTGGCTGCATTTAAAGATCTGCCTAGAAATTAAATTCCTGAAATTGCAAATTATGTCGGAAAAACTCCCCCCGCTGAGCGCGGCGTCCACAGGTCTCCCATGCATAAGGCAGGTGTCTGGAAAGACAAGGTGGTGTTACCTGCGTGGTAAACGCCGGGGTAAAAGCATCTCCAGCTTTTCCGCTTTGGAAAGTGGTGATTTCACTGAGTACCTGATTATCATCACGTTCAAAAGATTAATTTGGCCTCTATTCAGAGTAGTTTAGTGCAAGCATATTGTTAAAGTTTCCCCAAAGATCTACAGCTAGCTTAGCTCTAGATAGTCGTGATGGGGGTGGGGGGTAGGGGGGGCATGAGGAAAAAAAGTCATCAATTGCATCAGTGCCAAAGAGATTGATTTAAAAAAATTTTTTTTTTAGTGTACACTGTCTTGCATCTATGATCTGCAGGGATTTTATTTTTGTTGTGGTGGTTGGTTTTGTTTTCCTTCCAAAACTGTTTTCTGTATAAAATTTTTTTCGAAAACCTACTTTTTAAAAATCTAAAAACCCTCTCTCATCTCCTCCTGGTCTCCACGCTGTTCGGACCGAGCTGGGCTCGTAGGTCACAACCTACAACCATGTTCCCAGAGCCGAGACCGGAAGGAAGCAGAGACCCAGCATGTCTGGAGCACAGGGTGAGCCTCTGCGTCCCAGGGTCTCCGAGGCTCCTGGAGCCGACGACCTGGTGGGACAGGGCAGTCTCCCATACAATGCTCCAGAACGTTCTCAGGTGTACGTTTGCCAAGTGGCACCTTCCAAACTCCCCCGTAGGGCGGGGAGCCTGGAAACCAGGGTGAGGGCCCAAGTTCTACCAACATCCCCAGCAGGAGACCCAGGACACACAGAAGCACAGGAAGGATGGGCAGAAAGGCGTCAGGACAACCCAAGAGGTCGAGGTGTGGTTATTTACAACAGAGACTGTAAAGTGGTAAATTAGATATGAAGCTAAAAAAGGCACAGCTTTCCCTTTCTTAAATACACTGTAAACGCTTCAGGAAGCATGCAGAACAGCGCACGTTACCAAAAAAAAAAAATTTTTTTTAACCTTGTTTGTTTAGACAAAGATAGTACTTAAATAGTCTCCAGCAAAATAGAATTCTTTCAAAAATACTTTCCCATTCATCCTTTGAACCATTAAAGTTTTTTTTTTCTTTTTGTTATGTGTCATTTACAAAAGTTCCTTATACCTTATTTCAGGTCCTTCACAATTTATACATACAGTAATGTACACCACAGCAAAAGACTGCAAAAAATTATCTGTAAAGCCAACACAATAGATACTAGAAATTGAAACCAAGGCATTTGTTTTAACATCTTATCCATTCTAATTAAATAATAAATGGACGCTATAGGGTGTGTGTTCACCAGTGATGCAGAAAAACGGGCGTCAGCAGGAACCCCCAAGGGGCCCCACTAGGTGCCTCGTGCTCCGTTATTACACAACAGGAATCTATCTTTTTTGATTTTTTTCCTTGTGTCTTTTAAATAACAAAAGAATATTAATGCCCCATATTGACTATACTTTTTTTTGTATGTGCAAACCAAGGGTAAGCTTAAAAAGTTCGTTAGTCCTTGAACCCTTTGAAAACAAGCCAGTGATCCCAGAATCTACATGGCAGAGTTAAAACCTCCATCTGTTAAAATATCAAAATCAGAGTTATTGACTAGATATGGCTTTTCATCCAGAGGAACAGGAACGAGTGTCTACGCGGCTGGGATTGGAGGGGGAAGAAGCCTTTTGATCCGAGACTGTTTCAGCTCCCGCCACGGCCACATTTCTTTCCTGGGCTTCTCGACCCCTCAAGACATGGATTTTTAAATTTTTTTTTTTCAAATCTTGAGAGACTTCTGGACAAGTGCGATCCACCATCACCTGTTTAAAAATCGGATTGCTTGGGTCCGTCGTGGGTGCAGAATAACACGGGGAAACGTTTAAGGCAAAGTTCTTCTCGGTTGGCTGGCCGCCTCTGTCACTTCCGGTGGAAGTAGAGCGCCTTGGCATTCCCGGATTCCACCTTGGGCAGCTGGTCGCTGATGATCTCCACCAGCATGGCGGGAAACTCCACCTTCAGCGCCTGGGACTCACGGAAGGTGTAGAAGCAGAATTCCAGCAGGTCACTCACCAGCTGCAACACACAGAGCAGACACATGAATACAAGGCTGCATTTCCACCCCTCGGCCCTGGACCCCGGCAGCAGGAGCTCAGCGAGCCATAGCCAGGGGACCTATGGCCGCCACTCATGCTTGCTTTGGTGGCATGTCTGTCCCAAAGGAGGAAGACAGACCAGACTGAGTTTGGCCCCTGGGAGAATTCCGGGGGACAGCGTCATAGAATTTCCCTCGTGGGAGTCTCACTTCTCAATGCACCCAAGGGGGCACAGACACGTGTGGGCAGGGGAGGAAGGACCAAACGGGCAGGTGCCATTTCTCCTTTCAGCAGGTGGGACCCTGGGCTGGAAGGAGCCAAGGCCGTGTGGGCAGCTCCCTGGTCCCCCTCCCTCTGCCCGCCCTCCTTCCGGCTTCTGCCCTGAGCTCTTGGCAGAGCTGAAACTTCTTCCTGACCCCACCACACCACATGTTCCATCCCTCAGCCCAACAAAACTGACCTTCTGTGTATGTTAAGGTGCAAAATGGTGTCTGTGACCAGTCAAGTGACCAGCTAACACCTCTCACATTGCACAATTACCATTTCCTTGTTGTGGCCAGAATGTAGAAGATTTCACTTAGCAACCTACAAATATCTGGAAGCATATAATACAGTGTTCTGAGCGACCATCACCATGTGGGCCTAGTCATCTCCCACCTGGAAGTTTGCGCCAGCAAACTTTGCACCAGCATTTCCCCCACTAACCACCGTTCTTCTGAGATTCCATGTTTAAGGGAGAGATGTAGCATTTGCTTTCCTCCAACCTGCACCATTCAGCAGAGTGTCCTGGTATCGTGTGTGTGTGTGTGTGTGTGTGTGTGTGTGTGTGTGTTTACCTGACCCCACTGTTCGTCATTCGGGCTGAGTTGGAGAGGGGAAGCATCCATGAAATGTACCATCTTTATCTGCCCAACTACTGGGCTCCAAGAGTCCTTCTGGACCCAACAGCTCCTGATTCTGGGAATTCTACAGACTAGCTCACAGATGCAACCTTTGCAAGTTGCTCCTCCTCTTCCTGGGAATATACTTTTGAATCTGAAAGTACACATTCAGATTTTCTTAATTCCCTGTTTCACCCTGGGGGCAGGCCGTGGCTGCTACCCCTCACTATCATGCAGGAGACAATACGGAAATTTCCTCTGGACTTCAAGAACAAAACTCAGGGCTGGCCAGAGAGATAGCTCAGAGGGCTGGAATGCACGTGGAGACCGGCACTATTAACGTCCGCCAGCCCAAGTATCCCCACTACTGCCCAAACATTCAGCTATCACCTCGAACTGAGGCAGTGAACAACTATGTGGCCACAGCCTTAAGGACAAAACAGGAATCAAGAAAACTGTATTTGGCAAACATATCTCAGGCTCTGGCCTGTGCTGGCCTTTGGGAAAGCATTGGCAGCCTCAGGGTTTCGAGGATGGACATCTAGGAAGTAGACATGAGGTCAGATGATCTGGGCAACCAGCTACCGTCTGCCTGGCTTTGATCTCCACATCTGGGAAATGGGTCTAAGGATGGAGCAGCTGCTTCCTTAAGGGGTGCATGTCCTGGAGTGAGCATGGTGAGAGGCCGACCCCTAAGCAGGAGTTGAGAGGTGCCACAGGGAAGAAACCTCTTTACCTTCTCTTCTGCCTATGGTCATTCATTTTTCTCTTGGCACCCAGCCAGCGAAACCTTTCACGGTCACCTATGTGCATTTCCAGCAAGGAAGGGATGCAGCATTGCATGCAGTGCTCTTTCTGGGGTAAACCTGCCGTCCCTGTTCTTTTTGGAGAACTGACAAGGTCAATTAAAAAAATGGGGGTCACACCTGCAGTGCTCAGAGGTTACTCCAGGCTCTGAGCTCAGGAACTAGTCCTGCAGGGCTCAGGGGACCCTATGAGGTGCCGGGGAGCGAACCCAGGTCTGCTGCGTGCCAGGCCAGTGCCCTCCTGTCCTGTCATTCCAGCAAAGCTGATTCTTTCAGGAGCTCTGCCAGGGGCTGAGAGCTAAAAGTCACACTGGGTTTGGGGTCGCTCTCTAGCTGTGGGATCACATCCTGCCAGGGCAGAAGCCCCTTGCCACCTGCTAGGGTACTCAGCCGTAAGTCCACCATAACCATCTTGGCCCACCTTGGCCCCTGAGCAAGGAGGCCCCTGCAAAGGTGGAAGCCTTCAGCCAAAGCAGACTCTGTGTGTATTTCTCTATGGACCCCACTGCTGAGGCTGGGTTTGCTCAGGCCCAGAGATGCCTCAGAGACTCAGGGGATGACCAAGGTCAGTCCACAGGACTCGCTGTCCATGATCACCCCCGAGCTGCCAGGCCCCAGCATGCACCGACCAGGTGGCCAGCATGAACGAGCTGCTGCCGCTGTTTCCAGAAAGATGGGTAGAAGCTGAGCGCGGGGCAGGAGGGCAGCCAGCTGGTCAAGTGGCCAGCAGGCCCAGGGGTTGGCATTGGTAAACAGGCGGCAGTTGTGATTTGCAGGTGCAGTAAATGACCCAGAGCGGAGTGACCAGCCTTGAACGCCCACAGGGCCAACCTCTGGAAACCCATTCTAGGGGGCCCATCCCTGGCACAGAGCCACGGAGCATCACCTAGGAAACGTGGAGCACAGAGACCGGGGCCAGCAGGGAGAGGCCGGGGCAGGGCCCGCGGCTGCAGGTTGGCTGGGGACAGTTGTCCCAGACACTGCCTGGCCACCATGAATATTCCCCAGGGCCACCCACCCACCTCTGTTCTTGTTCTTTTCCAGACATGAGCCCGGAGCTGGGGCTTTCCCGGGACAGCTGGGGTCAGGCCAGCAAGCCTGGGGCTGGACATTTGTCTCTGAGCATGATGTCACCTGGGAGGGGGAGGGGCTCGGGGAACAAGGTGGCTGTTGGGGAGTTCAGGCGGCTGGTGCGACTCCGCACTGGAGAGCAAGACAAAGAAGGTTCACTGGACTCAGGCTGTGACCCAGAGCCGGGGATGGTGAAGCCAGGTGGCGTCCCAGGTGCTCAGAGACCTCACTCAGAGAGCTCAACCTGCGGTCTCTATCTCAAGGAGGTCTTGGAGTGCTGAGGGTGCTGGCGGTCAGACAGGAGAGGTGGGGACCAGGTCCCAGAGCGGGGAGAGTGACGTGACCCAACCGGGAGTCTGTGGGTGCAGTGCAGGGCATGTACCCCGCAACCACTGAGTGGCCACAAGATTCAAACCATCTCCTCCAGCAAAGCTGAAGGTCCCTTCCTGGGGGCCTGGCCAATTTCCCCACCTTCCTCAGCTGCTTATGCTGGCCCAGAGAGTTTGCAGGATATCTGCTGTGCCTCTGAAAACAGGTGTCTCATCTGCCACTCCCACGTCAGCCCGCAGACACCTCCTCCCATATGCTTTGTCACGAGCCTGGGGCCAGGGAATACCACTTGCTCTGTGGCTCCAATGTCCGGTGTGATCCCAGTGACCCCAGCCTCTGGGCCTTGCTCCAGGTCCCCCTGACTTCTTTTCAATGCTCAAGGGTTTAGAGAAGAGAGAAGGGGGTGGTCTACATAGCAGAGCTCAGGACTTTGTGTTTTGGGGTCACACCCACAGAAGGCCACGGTGCCCTGAGTGCTGGGAGTGGGTTGATTCCCGGGAACCTCTGGATGTGATTCAAAAAAATTAAAAAATAAAGAGTGCTAACCTGGGCACGGGTGAGGGTGAAACCGCAGCAGCCCAGGCTTCTCACAGGGAGATACCCACAAGTGGAGATTAAAACAAAACAAAACAAAAAAACAACGAATCAGAATGTTTGTGAGTGGGGGAAGGCCACCTCCTTCCTAGGAGCCAGGGGTGGGAGGAAGCAGGGGACACACAGAGCAGAGGGGGCAACCAGGTCACGCCCTGGCCTGGAGGAAGAGCTCCCGGGGCCAGAGGCTTCGTGGGACACGTTTCTGGCTGGTTGGCCTTAGTGTGGAGCACCCTGGGTCTCCCCATGGTCCCTGTCTTCTGGGTCCCCCAAACACTGAGGGCTAAGCCCACAGCTCCACTTCCATTCCAACTGCAGGCAGCACAAGCAGAAGTGTGTTAGGGGTCACAAAAGTCAGCCCGAGTTGCAGGGCCCCTTTCTGAAAACCAAAGGGGGTTATGGATTCAGCCACAAGGGGGAGCAAAGGCAGGACAGGTGGATGCATCAGAGGCAGGGAGGAACCCCTGGCCAAGGACCATGGAGGAATAATGTCTGCCATGGAGGCAGGGGAAGGGTGGGAAAGGGGGGTGGGTATACCGGGGATTTTGGTGGTGGGGAATGTGCACTGGTGGAGGGATGGGTGTTTGATCATTGTGTGACTGTAACCCAAACATGAAAGCTTGTAACTATCTCACGGTTATTCAATAAAAACATACAAACAAAACAAAAAAAGGACCTCAGAGCAGTCAGGGTCTGGTCCAGCTGAGGCAACGAGCAAAGATTTAAGTTCTGTTTACCTCAAGAATGAGGGCAGAACACAAGAACGTGAGTAACTCGAACAGTCCAAGGTACACACAATCTCCAGAGGTTGTGTGTCAGTCTCCCCTAGCTGAGCTCAGAGGCACGGGGTTAATTTTGTGATCTAGCTGATGAGCTGGAAAGAAGACACCAGCTACACAGATTCAAATAAAGGACCCTGGAGACAATTTTCCATGAACTAACTCAAGAATGACCTGAAAAAAGAGCAAAAGAGAGCATCGGTGTAGACTGTAGACCAAAGGGGAAGACAGAATAAGTGAGTTAGAGGAGAAGAATTCTGAAGAAAACAACAACAACAACAACAAAAAAAACCAATTAGAGAACAGAGAAAAAATGGAAAAAGAGCCCGTGGTGGCCACCAGCCTTTGGGATACCAGCAAAAGAACAAATGCTAGGCTACCATTGGTGTTTCTGAAAGGAATAGGAAGCATAAGAAGAAAAAAATTGCTCTTGGAGAGGGTGGGCCAGCTCCTTAATAAAGTCCCACTCCAAGGCCCCCTCCATGCCTACAGCCAGACTGCCCAGTTAAATAATCTGGATTT